GTAGAACTGTAAGTGTGGTAGAGCTATTTTTTATCGGGTTATTATTCAGTAACGCTGTTTTGGAGTTCTTTTTTGTCACAATGAGTGCATTCGTAGACACAAACATAATCGAATGGCATTATGCTTGTGTTCAATAATATGCGTAGAATGCAGAATCTGAGAAATTTTTTCTATGCAATTCCTCAAATCTCACTGACAATGACAACAAACATCTATAAACCGTTCTAAGATGATTTACTTCTTTGTGAGTTTTGTGGATTTTCGCAGACAACTTTCCAAATAATTTACTTTTTCGCGTTAAAATCGCACCATGCTTCTGAAACGTGACGAAAAAATTGTTTTAACCTGCGACTCATGTTATCGAGTATTTGCAGGAACCGCACTAAGCTCGTCAAAAGTCTGAAAGCATAGAATTCGCGATAGCTAAACTTGCAATTTTGTCACAAAATCGGCAGATAAGCTCTGCTAAGGTGATGTCTTTTTTTGAATGACTTCCTGTTTTTCCTTGATAAGTTCCGTCAGAACGCGTTTCCAAAAACAATTTATAGTTCAATACTAAATGATTGTTAGAATCTTTATTCATAAAACAAAGTTGTATTTCATTCTCACCTGTCTCGCACAATTCGTAAGTCCTTTTTGGCCGAAATTCGAAAAGGCAAAATGTTCTCCTTAATTAAAAATAATGTCTTTAATTTGGTAAAATTTCCGTTCCGAATACTATGAAATCAAGCAAATAAATCCTAAAGTAAAAATTTGTTATAAATGTATAAGACGACTACATGCACCCTATATATGAAAAACCGGGATTTCGTACTTGATATAAACGCTGAGATACCGTTTTTCACAGATGTTGTTGTTAACACATCCTAAGCTATCGCGCATTTCACCCAAAAGATGGAAACATCCTTTATACGCTTACATACACCAATAAGAATTTCATTGAAGGTGAAGCACACTTCAAACAATCGCGATCGGCATTTCCCTTCTCTTTAGCAACTGCCTATATCCGAAATGCCAATATAAAAGTGCTCGTAAAGTTTTTCAACCAATCCAAATTTTTGTTCTACTATTTCCTTATCGTAAGTGAACACTTCAAGCTTGCAATTACCAAAGATAAACAGAAAGTCATTCACAAGAAGACCCTTTACCTTAGCAGACCTTATCTGCTGATTTTGTGACAAAATTGCAAGTTTATCTATTACGACTTCTATGCTTTCAGACATTTGATGAGCTTGTGGTTGCTGCAAATCCACTCGATAACATGAATCGCAGGTTCAAACAATTTTTCCGTCATGTAACATCAAAAAAAATGGTGCGATTTCAACGCGAAAGTGCAAATTATTTAGAAAGTTGTCTGCGAAAATACACAAAACTCACAAAGAAGTAGCATAGCAGGAACTCAAACAGATCAGAGGATCTCCGTGTAAGTTTCCCGACTTCCCAATCGTGTTTCTTGCTTCAGGTCGAACGTTATAAGCTCGTGCTTGCTCGATGCTGTTGAGGTGGAACTTTCGTATGGCACAGAAATCCCAGACCCTGACCTTGTCGGGACTCTGCCTTTCAATACGCAGGCAGAGCAGATCTTTGAAGAATGCTGCGATTGTGAGAAGGTAGCCGAAATACAATACTCAAGACTGGGTGTTTCATCTTCTTCATTTCCCTCAATGTGTTTTGTTCTACGTTACTTGCAATTTGCTCTTCAAACAAAATTCTATGCATCCATGTTCGACTATCCATAAATCTTGGCATTGTTGTAATCTTCTCGTTGGTTGCTTGAGCGCAGTCCAAGATTGGTACAGATTTATCGCACAGGTCACTAGTCAACTATAAAAGTTAAGCGGTAGTTTTTGACATAAGTGGTCTGCACTATACTTTGGACCGAATCGAATGATTATTCGATTATTCGAATAAATCATTCGAATGCGAATGATTCGAAAATTCGAATATTCGATAATCTCAGATTTCGAATAATATTCGACAGTCGAATATTCGAAAATTTTCATTTTCGAATATTATTCGAAAGTCGAATATTCGAAATTCTCAACTTTCGAATATTATTCGATAGTCGAATATTCGATTCGATGTCCATGGAATATTCGAATATTCGATGAGCACCGAATATTCGAAAATTCGGTGCTCATCGAATATTCGAAAATTCGATAAGAATTGACTATTCGAAAATTCGAAGCATCGAATATTTGGAAATTCGATATCCACAACATATACGGGGTGTCCCAAGGGTATGTACAAACTGTTTAATCGCTAATACCTCTCGCGAAGTCTTTTGCCAACCTTTAAGTAACATCCTGTAAGGATGGCTTCAGCTTACACATACAGCAGAAAGCAAATCACCTATGTTTTTCTTGTTGTGTTATCACGGTATGAACTTAGCATATAGAGCAACTGCGAAATGAGACATCCAAAAAAGTTTCCCCAACAAAAAAGAGATTTCAAATCTATGTAGCAGGATTTTACGTATTTAACTACGCACGGGCTTTTGGGCCTTTTAAATGTGCATTCTCTTCTCATTCTCTCTCTCATTCTCTTTTTGAAAAGCGTTGAAAAACTCTGTTATTATGTACCTGGCATAAGTTGCACAAGGCGTTACGGTTGAGTGCAAATTCTTTGTATAGTGAGTGTCTTTAGAAGCCTAGTGTAAAATCGGCCTTTTTGTTTCTCATTTTTGGGCAAATGGCTCTTGATATCTCAAAACCCTCCCCAGTTTTCCTACGGTAATTTACAAGTGAAAAGCGATCGATACATCGCTTCATACTGTAAGTCTAGGTTGATGTCAGCCCACAGATTTACATACTGTTGGGACCCCTGTATGTCAGTCCACATCTCTCAATGAGGATAAATAATCTTCTTTGATTTTTGAAATTCCTTTAGAACCGTCACGTACGCTTTTAGGTTCTTAAAGACAGCGTCCCAAAAGATGGGTGCGTTAATTTGTGGCAATGTTAAATTGGACCTCCTACCTAAGAGGTGACGAAGTTCGCAGCGAAAAAGAGGGTCTGGTAAGCTTGAAAATTGCTCCCAAAGTGGCCCATCTTACGGCAGACCCGAATGCCGCCCGTACAGCGAATTCGAACTGCAAGGCCAGAGAACGCATAGCGCACACAGTCATGAGTGCAGGGTCCCGCAACGACTCTGCGTCTCTACCCTGCATGCATCTCGTACTCACGAACCTACCGTAAGATCTCCCGGCCACTTACGGGGGAAATTTTAGGCCTGGTAGTCCCTTTTTCGCTCCGAACATCAGTCATCGCTTAGGTGGGGAGACTACTTTAACATCGCCACAATCCGGCACCCATCTTCTTGCCGGGGCTGCAACCGAACGGTTTTTTCGTTGTAAATTGAAACATAAAAAAATGTCTATACTTGAAAAAATTTATTCTGAGATGTTTTGGTCTCTCACAGGTAGTCCCACTGACATAATTTATTCGCATAGTATTCGAAAATCGAATGATATTCGAAAATCGAATATTATTCGAGAACCGAATAATAATCGAAATTCGAATATCGAATGGTATTCGATATTCGAATATTATTCGATTCGAAAACTTCCATTTTCGAATAATATTCGATAGTCGAATATTCGAAACTTTCGATTTTCGAATAAAATTCGATAGTCGAATATTCGAAGTTTTCAGTTTTCGAATAATAATCGATAGTCGAATATTCGAAAATTTTGAATTTCGAATATTATTCGATATTCGAATATTCGAAAAAAATTTCGAATTTCCCAAAGTATAGTCTGCACCCACCTACAGTCGAGTAGATTTCCTGCTCAACATAGTGTCCCTGCAGACGCGACAACGCTGGGGCGTCAATAAATGCCTTGCGAGTTCCCGAGCTAGTGTTTTCCAGTGTTTTCTTTGCTTATTTCATGCTTTTTAGTTGATTCGTTGCTGATAAAGAGGAAAAGGGTAAGTTAAAGAGTAGTTTCTGTTCTGAGAAGTTCTATCATCGCATGTTCACAGATATCCACGTGGAAGCATTTCGCGTCAGCTTCTTGTCTATTTTTTTGTCATTTCCTTTTCTTTGTCACTTCTTCTCCCCCTCCTTCTTGTGAGGCGTTTTTTTGAACGCTAATTGGCTTGTCTTGCAGCAACTTCGGCTTTCATCCAAAAGAAATAGCATTTTAATCAAGTACTTCATGTGATAAAGGCAATAAGTCAATCGTAAAAACCCACTAGCGTTCAAAGAAGTACCTCACAAGAAGAAAGAGACATAAAGTGACAAAAAATAGACAAGAAGCTGACGCGAAGTGCTTCCACGTGGATATCTGTGAATATGCGATGATAGAACTTCTCAGAAAACAAAAACTACACTCTAACTTACCCTTTTCTTCTTCATCATCAACGAATCACCTCACAGAATAAGCAAAGAAAACACTGGAAAACACTAGCTCGGGAACTCCCAAGGCATTTATTGACGTCCCAGCGTTGTCGCGTCTGCAGGGACACTATTTTAAGCAGGAAATCTACTCGACTGTAATTATTATCATCTTCTAAGGTGAGCACTAGCTTAATCTTGATTTTGGTTGAGGCTGTTGTTTTTCCTAGGGGTTGGTCTCTTTTCTGTGGTCGATGAGGTGTTTGATCGGATAGTTTACTTATGTGTCTTCGACTTTTCAGACTCTGAAGAAGGCAAGTTTGCCGAAACGTTAGTCTGTATTCTGTTCCGTGCGATAAATCTGTACCAATCTTGGACTACGCTCAAGCAACCAACGAGAAAATTCTATGCAATGCAAATGAATTTTGGTTAATACATCTTCTCGTCTGATAAGGATTCGTACAGTTATTAGCTCCTGGGACCTGAAGCGACTGATTTGGGCGGTATATTTGAGAGAAAACTCGCTTCCTAGCCCATCTCCCTCCCCCCCCCCCCCCCTTCTTTAGACGTCATGCTTCCTAATAGTCACAGCTTGTGACCTATATAATTTTCAACAAGTATATCTGGTTTTTGTATGCTTTGAAACTGTCTTTGTGCGAAAAACACTTTTATCAAACAACGATTTAATACACAATTTTATTTACAATCGCTTTACAAAGCAGCAGATGTGCCAGAGGTTCCACTGACATCACCTCCAGTGCTAGTACCACCACCCGTGGTGCCTCCAGTCGTGCCGCTGACATCCGTACCGCCAGTAGTTCCGCTGACTTCGGATGTACCTCCAGTCGTGCCACTGACATCGGTCGTGCCACCCGTTGTGCCTCCCGTCGTGCTAGTGCTAGTTTCTCCACCAGTGGTAAAGCCACTTGTAAGACCAGTTGTACCGCCAGTCGTAGCGCCCGTGGTGGCACCCATAGTGGTTCCTCCGATGGTAGACAAACCTATAAGAGGAAAGAGTTGGAAGAAAAAGTTGAAAAAGACTAGAGGTGATTTTGAACTACAGGACCTCCAACTCCAGTCGTTGTAGTTCCAAATGCGCTTCCTGTAACTCCACCAGTAACTCCGGATGCATCAACCCCGTATCTTTTGTACATTCCGCGATACCTAAAATGGCGATTAATGAAAAAAAGTCGATTGAATCGTGATTACCGCACCAGTCTTGATATACATTACGACGGCCAAAGTAGAGGAAAGATCCAAAAATAAGCAGCGATATCATTGAGCCAACAAAGAATCCGTAGAATATGGCCCAGATTAACCACCCTTTTCGACCTTTTTTGACCTCAGTACCTCCTCAAGCGCGAGAATCAGTATATATTTGTAAGTGTAAAACAAAGCGTCATGCCTTTTCCAAGGAAATCATCTATATTCGATTTCTGTGTGGTCGTTGCTTTTGCTACGGCGGACACATTCGGTGTCGGTGACGGCTAAATAGCAATATATTCTACGGAATCCATTAGAGTTACATGTTATGCGCAACTTACAGTCGCTATGGTGCCCAAGGTGCCGTGTGGTGTTTTGGCGGTACCGAGGTCTTCAGGGGTCCCTTTCCCAGTAGACACAGTATCTATACTTTCTTTGTTTTCTATTTGCCATACTTCTCCATTTTGGGGCCCCTGGGTGAAATTTTCCTTCGCTCCAAATGTGCTCACAAAATCAAACTCACCATATTCTGAATTCCACCGAACGCTCCCTTCTTTTTGATGAGACACTGGTGATGTGAGAAGTAGAAAATAATGTACCCATCATGTTTAACCATCTGTGACGAAACAACGAGCTCCCTTCCAACAGACCATATTGAGAACTGTAATAATTCAATCAACTTTCTAAGACATCTTGATTTAACCAGGCGATTTGTAGTTCCAAAAACAAGTGGCTTGGCAACCAGAATATCTTGAGATTTTGATATGATAGGTTCCTTACCCTAGAATTTGAAAAAAGAGCAAGCACATCATGGTGCTTCTGCCAAGAAAAATGCCCCTAAACCCGTGCGCGCGGTCAATTCTCAACCCCCCCCCCCCCACCCCTAAATGTAGGATGCGGCACGGCAGTGCTGTAACCGTGAGAGGGTTGCTCATCGATGCTCATCTCCAATCCTGGCGGAAAATTTCAATCGTTCAAATTTGAAAAGTAAAGCAAATGCTTGTTTTTGCCATTTTTACACTTTTCAAGATGGATATTTAGGATAAGGCGCATCCGATAACCCCAGTCAAGCAGAAAATATGCAGCATGAAGAACTGCCCATCTGCGGCTTGTGGATTTTCAGTAGACCCCAATTCTCAACCACTGAAGAGCGCATTTTGCAATGATCTTAGATAATCTGAAAACTGACGCTAATTAGATTGAAGTAACTTACTCTTCCATCAAAATCGAAGCCAATCTGAGTAGGCCGATAACTTATTTGTTCCATTTTGTTAGAAGATTTTGTTTTCTTCGTGCTTTTCAAAAACCTTATCGCTACTCCATTTTCTATAAAGACAATGAATGACTTGATAGCACACATCAGGTCAGCTTTATATCTTAGGTAGTAAATTTGGTTACGGGAGAGGAAGTAATAGGCGATCAGTGAAGGGCAGATATGGTGCATCGAAGTTTACGATTTCCCTTTTTTTTGACAAATTTCGGGCGCAAATTTTACTCGAAGTCCTACTGAAATGATGCTAACCCACATGCTGAGTTAATGCACCAGTCCTCCATGCATCTGTGAATAAGAAAACTCAAAACTCTTCTGTGAAGGCGATAAGATAAAGCAGATTGCTTACAACTTGTGCAAGGTTTGTTTCATGCATCACTTTTGTACTTCATTGTCTTTGCAATAAATGCTTTACAAATCTTGTCAGAATTTATGTTTGAAGATTTTTAAACCCCTAGATGTCACAAATGTATACATGCACTTCCCAGTCGCTCATATCCCTCTTCCCGCAAAGTTTATTTTTTTTTTTGAACATTAGGTGTCATTCATTCTAGGACTAGGAGACGCAAGACCGCTTTGCGCACATTGTCTAAACAAGCTTAATCGTGTGCTTAGCAGGTTTATACCTGTCATTTATCTCGTCCACGTTCATGCACTCTTCGGAAACAGGGAAGAAAAAACTTAAACATGTTAAGAACAATGTCCGCAATGCGGTCACGCGTCTCTTAGTCCTAGAATAGATGATACCATGTTGAAAGACATTGATGGTTAAGCAATTTGTACGCACTTTTGAAACACCCTGTATAGCATTTGGACTTTGATTAAATTAAGATCATGCTTACGAGCTCCAGGCATAACAACGAAACCATTCCTAACATATACTGACAACATATTTTTGTCAATACAATCGAATTGATTCGTTTTACGTCCTGGTCCTCCTTCAACACAAACTTTGAACCTAAAAAAACCTGCGGCTAAGTGATAAGCTAGAACTTTCGTTCGTGTAGAAAACATACCATTCACACTTCTGCCCATCAACCCAAATCTTCGCGTGAAATCTTTGGTTCGGTGTCAACGTGTAAGTGATAAGTTGCCCCAAATCACATCTAAATATATAGACACTAGCAGATACGTAGAGCAGAGGGAGATGTAACATACGAGTCATGACATTTAATGCTTTTTAATGTTTTTAGTCCCATCCACAGGTGTTCTCGTCCAATGAAGATGTTGTTGCCGGCTTTATTTAGTCTCTGTATGCATTTTGATGTAGCAGTTTTGTTTTTTTAGCATTTAAAACAAACAATCATTACATACTCGCTTTACATGAAACACAGGTAGCAAGTAGAAGCCCGGATACTCCTTCATCAATTCCCGAATCTTTGGGGGCTTGTTTTGGAATCTGAGTTGAGAAATTTATACATCAATCGATAGAGTCTATATTAATTTGACCTGTGCCTAATTGAATGCTGCCCTTTTAAGAATCTCAAATCGCAGCCTGGATCCACGTTCATGACGAGTTCACCTTTTGTCACCTGTGTGTTGTCCCAGCTTTCTTCGCAACTACAGAAAAGAAAAACAAGAAAAAACGAACCTTTAGTAAACCAGTGCTGTCTAAATTAGTTGGTCCGGTGTTGGTCACCAACTTCTTATTCCATGGAAACCATAGCTTTACGCTTTCTTTACTACATATTTCGTTTGGTGTTCCAGAGGGGTCGCAGATAAGCACTCTGTAAAAATTAGTATAAATAAATTTAAAGTTCCGTCTTGCTTGGATCCGTGGATACCAAATTGCGGAAAACGTAGAGAACTTTGTAAAGTCAAGGGAAAGGTCAAAGGATTTACGATGTTTGGAGCATTCTAGGTCTCGAAAAGACGAGGTCGTCAAAAGTCAACAGATAGTTTTTTTACCAATCAAAAGAGACTATGTATTGAACAGAAGTATACAAAAGATGAGTCAGATCAAATCTTGCGAAAAATGATTGAATCACCTCGGGCAGTTCTTGGCTTGCAATGAGTCATTTTCCGACACCACAACAATGTCATTAATGTCCGGCATGCATCTGAAAGGTTGCAAGGTCCACTTATACTACATAGATTGTTAAAATAATATTCATTGTCAATAGATGAATGCGTAGTACCCGAAAACATCCTTCTTGTTATCAATCTAGTCCACTTGCATATCATAGAGCCAATAGCATATGCGGACAATTGCCACTAAAATCTAGTCTTACGCGAGGGCGGATGCCATATAAGGTTGAGAAAAGCGGGGGCGTGCGAGGTTTGAACATGTGGATATTAGACACTCCAACTATAAAACGTGCCCCAATAGCCGCGGAAGAGCTCGTTCACGACGACAGACCATCTGCATTTGTCCTTTATTGAGATCGTGATCAGTGGTAGATGTCCGCACAAGCTAAGATTATCTTCCTCGTAAGGCCTTGGCCCAAGGCACGGTCATACATGATCCGCTTGAACCACTTCATCCATTTTGCTATTGTCCAAATCTTTGGACTGACCAGTGGTAAAGCGGATATCCACTTAATTCATTTGATTCATTTGATGTACTTTGTTATTGGTCACTTCACAGATTTGACCAACAGTGAAGTGGATCAAGCGGATCAAATGGATCAAGTATGGCGTGTCCCTTGAAAGAGCAATATTTGATTCAATGTGCTGGCAGAATGCTTTAACATGGTATACTTTGTTTGGAATCAAACGGATATGACAAAGACACAATTTTGTCTAGTGTTTACAAGTGTTTACACAGAAACGATTTCATATTGTATAAATATAATCTACACAATAATAATAATATCAAAATTTTCAAGTCTTTACGAATAGAACAAACTGTACTATGTATCTCAAACTATACACTGAGAATGATTTATGTTCAATACATTCCATTATCATTTCTTTTATAAACACATTAAACATGGTATACTTCATTTTGAATATTATTAAAAGTTATGTGGTTATGTATAGTGGAGCTCATATATATATATATAGTGGAGCTCTTATATTATAAGATAAATATTCTATATTTAAGTATATTCTTTTAAAAGTAAGTAATTCTATTACTATCACAGTTTTGATACAATATCTTAACAAATTTTAGAAAAAAGAAAAAAACTTAAAAATTTTTCAAAAAAATTTCATACACATAGTTTACACTACTCAATAAATTTACTTCTTATTATTGAAAATAGGTTTCACAGACCTTCCTTCCTTACTGAGGAGTTCCGGGGAAGGTCTGTAAATACTTTTACTCCGTCTAAGGGCAGGAACGAAACGGAGTTTTTGGTTATTTACACATTACATTGAAAAGCTTTACTTCTTATTATTAGTTTAAGAACTTTATGTAAGAATGCATCCGTAAATATATCTGAAATAATGCATACCTTGCATAGGCTTCCAGTGGCCATTGGGTCTCTCCCCCGCACTTCGGCGGATATAATGACGAGAAAGACGACTGATCGAATGTTGGCACACCTTGGGACTGCGCTAGTACAGGAGGTACATTCAGCTGGAAAAAAGTAGGAAATTTACAAGGTTTCTTGAAAAGGCGATTTTTGACGATATTTGGCCGTTTGCAAAATGTGAATTGTGACCATTCCTCATACTGGCGAGATTACTGAAAGATATGCGTGGCGTACAAACCGCTCCGCATTATTCTGATATCAAGTTTGGGACCTTGATGTACATGAAACGAACGGAGTTGCAGTTCTCCAACTCTACTGGCTGTTTTGTTGAGGTTCAGACCGCTATCCTATAGGTGCAGAAACAAGAGTGATTTTACAGACTTTGTATATACCGGCTTTTGGGTAACGAAATAAAAGTGCACGAAGCAGCGTGTGGCAAGATCCTGGTGAATAAGCTGACTCTGCAAATAGCATTCGGCTAAGAGAGTGAACTCAATGGAGCTCAATGGAGCGCACGATCCCCCTAAATCGTATTGCTTGTGATACGGATTGAGGCTAAAGATGAGGACAAGTATCATTCATTCTCTGACTTGAAGACGCGAGCACGCTTTGCATGCATTTCATTGACAAGTCATGAATGAGTTTTAACGCGCTTTAGTTGACTTACTATTAGAATTCGTGAAAGAACATGTTTGATTTGTTAAACTATAGCGCTTATGAAACGCAGTGTCGCTTGCATCAGCATCTCCACTCCCGCGCTGGACTCTGCGTCTCTTCCGCGAACATGCTCTCTGATCACTTCCAATCAAGAAGCTTCGCCTTTCCCACGCTCGCCCAAGGAAAGTGATCCGAGAGCATGTTCGCGGAAGAGATGCAGAGTCCAGCGCGGGAATGGAGGACTGATGCAAGCGACACTGCGTTTGATAAGCCCTGTACGCTGGCGTGAACAAGTTCTTTCGCGAATTCCTGATAGTGACTAACCAAAATGCAATAGGACTCATTCATAAACTTGATCAAACGTACGCAAATCGTTCTCGCGTCTTTTAGTCAGAGAATGAATAATAGCTTGAAATCTGGAAGAGTCACGGTGTGCAAATGCAGTCGCTAACAGCACAACCGTCGTCAACGAAAAGTTTGTAAGCATGCATTTAGTCGAAATTTGATCTGGCAACTATATGCAAGGTCGCAATAGCGCGTGACAAATCTGCATGGTTTTTTTTGAGCAGAGGGACTGCTTGCGTTACGCGTTGCGGCGGTTTCGCCAAGAGGTTATCGAGCGTAGTGCGTGCGAAATTTCATCGTTATGAACAAACAAGGTTTGGGAGCTCTGCATCAGTTCAGAACGCTTTTGCATTAAAACATAAGTAGGAAGCTTTTTTTAAATTTGAAAATGCAAAAACTCTAGAATTTCCCACTATGGCCTGACGCTTTAGAGGCAGCGTCCCACCACACTGGGGGTACCTGGCTCTGGTAACAATGTAATAGTAGACCCCTAACTAAGCGAAGACAGAAATTTGCAACGCAAAAGGTTCTACGAAGTCTACAAATCGCCCCCAAGTGGCCCGAATCTTACGGTAGGCTCGGACGAGTACGAAATGCGTGCAAGATAGAGACGCAGAGTCGATGCGAAACCCTGCGCTCGTAACTGTGTGCGCTACACGCACTCTGGCCTTGCAAATCGATATTGCGGTGTGGGTGGCGTCCGGGCCTACCGTAAGATTCGGGCCACTTTCGAAGCAAATTTCAGGCTTGGTAGACCCCCTCTTCAGTCGTCGCTTAGGTAGAGGGTCTACTCTACATAGCTACAAAACCCGGCACCCATCTTTTTGCCGAGACGCTGCCTTTAAGGTGTTGTATGTGAGAGTGGGTGCCGAACTGCAGTGTACAGCCGAGTGTACAGTATGCTCGATGTTTCCGCCGTTTTTGGCAGAGTGCCTAGTTAAGCCTAGCTATTTACCCTAGCAAGGCTTTAGAATGATGTGGTCCTCATTCTTAAGCTTGCGATTGTCCTGTTACAAGCATAAGCAAGGCTTGGTGCGCTGGTGCATGACAAAGGCGCAACATCTTTGAGCGCGAACGCGACTTTATAGCCGCAGAGCGCAGCATTTCAAAAGGTGAGGATACGCGCGCGCCACGTTTGCGCCCGCTCAACTAATATTGCTTCTGCGCCTTCGTCATGCAGTAGCCTTAAAGTCTGCTTCAGCCAAAGAATTTCCTTACGCATTCAGCAAAGAATAGAAGAAACCCCTGCACATCGGATCCTAAACGAGGCTCCGGGTGGTAACAAAATGTCAGAGTGCTCAAAACGTCTCTATGGGTTGGACACGACACGTGTGATGACACATCAGGAGACTGCTCTTGTGCTTTGCACTTACATCGCTAAGTAATCTCCACAGATGCCGGCCTCCAAGCTTTTCTCATCAAGTGCCACAACATCCCTTTGCAAAAAACGAAGATCAGGAAAAGGGACTTGAGGCAGGATTGGTGGGACGTCATCATTTGTGGTGAAGTTCCATCATAAACTTGAGGGTAGGGGCTTTGCTGTACACCCACTTATTGTCCAATCTTCAGTTATGAAACCATCGACTTGCCATCCTACCTTTACGCCATATACGTCAGGAAACCATTATCAACTTCTATTCTTCAACGTCAGCAGCTGACAAAACAGAAGTGAATGCTTTCTACGAAAATGTGGGAAAAGGTTTTCTCACAAGAACTCTTTCTACAAAGTTGCTGTGAGCAATTTTAATGCGAAAATCGGGATCACTAAGAAAGAGTGTAGGATCAGGAGGTTTGAACCGTCTTCTAGGGCTCTACACCACAATTTTTCTACGGAAATCCTCTAAAGGAAAAAAGAACATCGCCGATGGACGTGCAAATCTCACGTTGCAGTGACTCACCGGAAAAAGACTTCATCAACCAAAGGTAGGGCCTACTGATGTGTTTTTCTAGTTCTATCATTCTGCAGCGGTTGCTATCACCCTCGCCTTTGAGTGAAAGTATAGTAGTCAAAAGCTGGGAAAGAAGATCTGCTATGGTGTCGCAAGAACGAAGGAAGTGTTTTAGGTGACAGATTAGAAAAGGTCTTTCCAACTATCTGGCCTATCGAGGGAGGGGGGGGGGGGCACAACGTACGACTGGCTTCTGAGGAGGCTGTGAGGCCGCGGAAAATGTAACTCACGTGTTGAAGAAGACCAAGGATCACTTGAAAGTTTTGAGGAAGGATTCAAAGCACTTGTCTCAAGCGACTGGTAGCGTAGGCCAGCTAAAAAAAACTTGCAGGAGAACCTCCGGAACAGACAAGCGAACAACACTGAGAGCGAAGCGGGTCAGATCCTCCGCCAAGTGGCTTTCTGAACCCTAGGCGGTCACCGCTCCACATCTAGCGTTTGCCCGGAAACTTCTACCACGCACCAGGTAAAAGAAGAGAAAGAGACACTGCGCATCGGATCCCGTTTGTGGCGCCGGGTGGTAGCAGGACGATGTCAGGGTCCTCAAGGCGCCATTTGGATCAGACAAAAACGACACGTCTGCCCTGACGACACGCCATGGAGACTGCCTTGCTCTGCACCTACAAGCCAGGACAGTCTCCACAAAACCAATTCCCAAACTTTTCTCGACGCTGCAGAGCACGTTAAGTACCACATCACTGCTCTGCAGGAAACGAAGTCCAGGAAGAAGGACGTGCGATAGATGAATGTGGACCCTCATCATTCGTGGAGGTGGTTATCAGAAACGTTGGAGACGTTGGCTTTGTCGTTCACCCATCTATCGTCCAACGAGAAGTCCTTCTACAAGTTTGTTGTGGGCAACTTCAACGCGAAAATCGGGTTGCCATTAGAAGAGGAATTATTATCGGGAAGTTTGAATATGGGCTTCGAAACGAGAACAGCAACTGTTCCGTTGAGCTTCTCTCCGCCGTGCGATTTTTCCAAGGAAATTCCATCTTCATGAAGAAAGAACATCGCTGGTGGACTTGAGAATCGCCCAACGGAACGACTCACGCGGATATCGATCACATTCTCACCAACCGGAGGTAGAATTTGTTTGATTTCTTAGTTGTACCATCATGGAAGAAGTCATTCACAATGGTATATTGGAAGAGCTCATATCAAGTTGTAAGCAGACCATCGAGAAGGACCCAAAATACGACTACGACTGGCTTCTGAAAGTATTGCGAGCCTGGGGAGAGTGCGCCTCAGTTACTTTCTTGAAGAACTTGGAACGCATTTCGAAGGCCACTAAGGAATTGCTCGAAAGAAGAGAACTCTGAGGCAAGATCCGAGTGCGACCCATCTCGAGGATTGATAGTCAAGCCAGTTGCAGAACAACTTTGCAGGAGGATCTCAGGAAGTATGGCGAGCCAAGATGCTGGAAGCAGCCGAAGGAAGACAAATTCTTAAGAAGTGCCGAAGGGACTTCTGCGAATATCACGTGCCGCTGGCTGCACTACCGAACGAAGACGGAACCTCGACTTCTTTCCGATATAAAATGGAATCTATCGCGAAGAACTTCTACACCAAACTCTTCCGCTCATCATTACTCGTGCCGATGCCCGCTTTTCGCACTGGAGAAGTGTAAGGCTCGGCATAGTTCCGCAGAGCAGCTAATGCTAAGACTGATGAAAATATCGTGTGTGAGATATTCAATGTTCGCCGGCCTTAACAAAACCAATTCCCAACAACTATTTATTAGCAAGGAGATGATCATGCAATAGGACGAAACAAGTGACCTTTCGGATTAAGGCAACTAAACTACAAAAGATCGCAGTGAGCCGTCGGCCAGCGGCGGTGAATCATAACGGCCGATATGAGTAAATAAAGGTGCGGTCGCTACTTGCAAAATTACAAAACAAGAGTAAGAGAGTTCGAAGAGGAAGTTAAGGACTACATTGAGTAAGAATAAGAAAAGGTACGAATGCACACCGAAGGCTTCCTACGGTCTCTTATATATATGTTTCACTAATGGATACGAACATACATAGCCACATAAAACATATAATAAAAATGGGGTTCAGGTTAACATTGCCTAATGGAGAATACACAAACTTCCTAACGGGTCCATTATCCTTCGATAGTTCCCATAAATTTCTTTCTCTTGTTCT